ATGCAATACTGTAAGCAAAAACATGGACCAAGCTCATCCAGTGCCTTATCAGTCAAAATGGAACACAAGCCATATTCTTTATAATTAGATAGGCAGAATAATGGTAAATGAGACAATAACAAAATGGAAGTGAATAAAAATTCAGTTTTCAGGGATATTTTGGTATTTCAAAAAAAAGAAACAATAAAAAAAGATGTGTTCTATTTATTTTTAATCAGTGATTTTTGCTCTGCAAGGCCTACACATACACATGATTACCTATACGAAAAAATAAGTTTTTAAAAATGACTACTCAAAAGTTATGAAGACCTAAACTTCAACCTCTGATTTCTCAATATCAGCGAAAATGCAATTGTAACAATGTGGAAATAATGGGACGATGTGACGAATATGTTGATGAGGTCATGACTGCCCCCTCCACACCTGAAGAATGGAAACAATTGGCTGATGGTTTCCTCGAGAAGTGGAACTTTCCAAAGTGCGTTGCTGCAATTGATGGCAAACACATAGTCATCAGAAAGCCTAATAGCTCTGGTTCCTTATATTATAATTATAAGGGTTTCTACAGCATCATCTTACTGGGAATTGTCGACTCAGACTACAAGTTCGTGTGGTGTGATCTGAGTGGTGAGTAAGCTCTACATACGTTACTGCATTAATTTTATAATTATATAGATTTAATACAATTAGCTATATTTGCAATGTATACTGACAATATTTTATCCTCTTACTCTTGTATAATTTCAGGATATGGTTCAAGTGGAGATGCCAGGATCTATAATGCATCGGAATTCTTGGAGATGGTGCAGGATGGTTCGATCGCATTTTCAGCACCAACAGCCATTTCCCAACGACACCGTTGATATGCCTTTTTTCTTGGTAGGGGATGACGCATTCAGCCTCAGTGATCACATGCAGAAGCCCTATGGACATAGAACCCTCACTAGAGAGGAAAGAATTCTAAACTACCGGTTATCGAGGGCTAGGAGGGTTTCAGAAAACGCCTTTGGAATTTTGGCCAACCGATTCCAGGTACATTGTAATTTATAATATTTGTCGCCGAAACAAACAGTTAAACTCCAAGTTCCTGGGACTATCTAGATACGTTTATTCGACTTCGAGGAAATGAGACTTCATTCGAACTTCCACTAATTGAGACATGAAAATAGTATGTTTTGTACTCGACCTATAACAGTTTAACTATTAATCCGTATTTTCAAATTAATTCAATTTAACGCATAATAACATTTCAGGTACTCCTCTCAACGATGAACCATAAGCCATCCACAGCGAGGCTGATAGTCAAGACATGCTGCATTCTCCACAACTTGGTGAGAATGAGGTACCCTACAATGCAAAATGCACTGATTGACCAAGAGGACAGAAGAGGCGACATGGTTCCTGGGGAATGGAGGAGAGATCGCAACTTGGAAGATGTCAGGGCTGTCAATATCAGAGGCCACAACACAGCAAACAAAAAGGGGAAGATTGTGAGAAATACTCTGAAGCACTGGGTCAACTCTCGAGCTCCAGCAGGAAGTGTACCATGGCAAGACAGGATCGTGCCAAATTAAAGGTTGGACTTTGAGAAATAATCTAAAGCACTGTGTCAACTTGAAATTAAGTGTAATTTGCCTGACATAAATTGTAAAAACTAGTTTAAACGTATTTTTGTTTTACGAGTCTAATAATAAGAAATGTATTGATATAATATCAAAGGGAAAATACCAAACATGATCAGAAAACACAAGAGAAACAAAATCTTAAACAAACCCCAACTATCCCAAATGAAATTCAAGCGTCAAAAGAAACAGTGTCCAACACCCCTCCCCTTCCATTCTAATATCAAATATTACGACCCAAAACCATAAAACATAGGGATATTTCATTCAAACTGAAGTAATTACAATAATTGCTTGGCATGGTAACCAATTGTACGTGTTAATAACATTCCCAATGGATGATCACTGTATGAATTTCAAATCTGTGTTGACTACGACCTCTTAATTAAGGTAGACTATGTTAGGAATGTCAGAAGAGCCATATTGAATACAGGGTGACACCAAAAAATGCCACCCACTTATTTCAGAATGACTTTCTTTTATGTGTAGATAGGGTGTTCAATGGAAGAAATCGCTCGAAAATGTAATTTCGTCAAGAACGTTTTTTTCTCTGACCTGAAATTTGGGCCCCCCCCCCCCCTTGTTGGTTCCTAGATCCACCCCTGCGTCGTCAGTCGCTTGATATGCAAATTATGGGGATACGACCTTATCCCCAGCGACCTTTAACGTCACTTGATGAAGCCAATGCGAAGGTTAACCGATCGTTAACGCATTGAAACGAATTTCAACGAATGACACACGAAACTTTTATTCGCTGCAATTTTTTGAACATGTTCAAAATTTTCCGACGAAAAAGACTAATTTCAACCGAGGTAAACGCTGCGACGTACTGTCACGAACTCGTACTAATGAGAACGAATTTGACTAATTTCCTATTCGCCACTATACGCAAGTTGACGTAAAGGGGTTTTCGTTCATATGTGAGGGGGGCTTTAAGATGATGACTTACGATTGTGGAAAGAGGGAGTGATGATTTTGCCTTTATCTCGTGATCATGTAATCATGAAAAAACAATTTTTTACCGAATAACTGTTGCGCCATTTTGTTACGAAAACACATCTGTTTTCATAACCAACACCCTTTACCAGAGAGTTCCTCCACAGTGAAGGGCAATAGTTGTCTAATGATATCTTAGACAGTGATCGTAGCGTCCAGATTGAAATCTTCTGTACAGGGTGGGCCAATAAAACTGGAACATTTTTTTTATTAATTCTATTCTCTTTATTTTTGCAGTTCAATCCACAACAATTCAGATACTGGTAATTGTGAAAATGTTAAAGATAAAAATATGTATGTATGATTTATTTTGGCTTGTCATGTTCATGATCTATTTTCTGTGTGCGTCATGAAAAATTTCCAAATTTTCTCTGCTTGAGACATCATTGCTGAAAATGCATCACTCATACCATACAGTATATGCCCTTCAAATGGTCTTAACACAATTTCCATCAATTAAAACATATATGTAGTTATCTCAAAGAGAAGCTAGACATGCCTCCCTTGGATAATATGACTTAACCGACTTCAGCCTTTTTCAAAACTGGCACAATATGTCTCAAAACCTGTCATTCAAGCCAAGCATGACTGTCAAATACAGCTCAGACTGATTGTTCAGGTGGGTGGAGGACATGTTCAGTAATTAAATGTTGAGCTTGTATATTCATATTTACAGAATGACGTTGAATTGTTTTTCAATTTTCTAAAGTATTGAAGATAATACGATACATGACAAACAAAAAAGTTACAATCGATGGAAAAATTTTCCAGCTGAACTTGTCTGCCACCTTCCTGAACAGTCAATCTGAGCTGTATTTGACAGTCATTCATGGCTTAAATGAGAGGTTTTGAGACATATTTTCACTTATTGTGCCAGTTTTAAAAAGTTTTGAGGCCAGTTAGGCTTATTCAAGGTTGACATCTCTTGCTTCGCCTAGAGATAACTACATATAGTTTTAATTGATGGAAATTGTGTTAAGACCATTTGAAGGGTGCATATTGTATGGTATGAACGATTTGTATTTCAGCAGTGATGTCTCAATCAGAGAAACTTTGGAAATTTTTCATGACGCACGCAGTATACAGATCATGACCATATGACAAGCCAAAATTAATCATACATATATACATACTTTAGTCTTTAACATTTTCACAAATAATCATTTTACCAGTTTTGGAATTTTTTGTGGATTGAACTGCAAAAATAAAGAGACATAAGAGAATAAATAAAAAAATGTTCCAGTTTTTTGGCCCACCCTGTAAGCAAGCAGCCCCTAGCCCCCTAGAAAGAAATTGGTCCCTAAAAAAATTTTGGGCCAAAATAGGCCTTAAGGCCCTAAAAAGTGGGCCTTTTTGGTCATGACTGAGCCTTTTATGGCCTTATTTTAAATAAATGAAGAAAATGGGCCTCGAAATTTCATTTTTGGGTTTAAGGGGCCCATTTTTTATCGTACCTGAAATCCCCCCCCCCCTTGTTGGTTCCCAGATCCGCCCCTGAGGGGGAACCCCGAACCCCTCTGACTACGGGCCTGGAGTGGTGGAATTCTTAGGATCATGATGTACAGAAAGGACGATTCTCGGTTTGGAGAACAGTCTCCTGGGCTAATATTTTTTTTCATGAAAAATATAGAAATATTACCCAAATTAAACTATGAATATTCAAAAGAGCACATTTAAATCTACAAGATGTAAAAATATCAAATTGGTCTGGAGCAGGGATAACGCTCAATTAGACCGATTTTAATAAAATACAAGTCTCGATTTGGGGAAAGAAGTTCATCAGTGTACTGCGCTAATAATTTTTTGAGAAAAATCTAGAAATATTACCCAAATTAAATTATGACTATTCAAAAGAGGACATTCAAATCTATATTATGTAAAAAAATCAAGTTTGTCCGAAGCAGGGATAATGCTCATTTAGATTGATGAACTTCGTTCTCCAAACCGAGAATCGTCCTTTCCTGAGAAGTCACGAGGCTTGGAAAATTATTTTCTTTTACTGATATGACGCATCAGGCCCGTAGACAAGGGGAGGGGGTGGCGGAGCGGGAGCCCTTGCCTAAAATTCTTTCAAAATCATCCATGGGCTTTCAACAGAGTGTAAAAAAGTTCCTCCCCCTTGCCAAAAGCCCCCCTCCCCCATTCCCCTAGGTAAAACCTGACCACGGGCAAGCATGTACTAACAGCAAACCAATATGAAAAAAAACATTCTTTTCATTTCGAACATTATTGAAAGATGGCACCTCCACTCACAAGTCATTCTCCATTCATTGCGTGTCAATGCAACGGCAAAAATCCTGCCATTGCTCTGGGCTGGAGAAGGAATATCTGACCAATCAAAAGCTCAAAAAGCTTCACTCCGTGCAGAAATCAATTACTGCAGAAAATGAGACAAGTGACAACCTCTGGCAAATGGACGTAACAAAACTTGGATTTTCTAGTAGTTTTTCGTTATCTTTTGACCAAATTAAGGATTAATTATGAACTAGAGCTTAGGAGTACACAACAACATAAAAATGGCGGGATTCGCTGCCAATGGAGGCATTATATTCGCAGTTGTTCTCGTGTGTTTTTTCAATCCTTCATTTTCAAATAAATTGGAGACAGAATCAGAATGCAGTTTGATAAAACAAGAATTTCTAAAGTTAAATATTGGAAATCCCAATATGGTTCCAGATAATCAAGTAAATGGTATGTACTTTTTTCGATTTCAGAGACGTTATTTTATTTTACATCTTATGACATCACATCTTGATGTTTGCTTTTGGCTCTTTCAATCGACCTCTTAAGTTTTACTTTCTTTGAGACATCTGTTCTTGAAAATATGGACTTTCAGAGAGTCCATGCAGAAACTATGTAGTTATCCGCAAAATCAAAAATGTTCAAGGCAGTTTTGCTCTTTCACAAAACGTAAGAAACATAAACATGGGTTACGTCATTACAAGACTAAATCAAACAAATTAAAATAACAACCTGACTTCAAATTATATAGAGCAGATCAAAAATGTTCATCAAAATGGCCAAAAATGCTCCAAATGCTCTCTTTGTATGCCAAAGAAGTAAAAACTACTCTGTATAAAGCTTGTAATGATATGCAGAGGATATGTTTTTATTTTATACAGGCGAGGAACTTGAAATTTGTCAGAAAGATGCAGCAAAGACATGTTGCACGCCTCAAATGGAGCGAAAATACACCAAAGCCTCTGAGCGGGACTTGTACGAAGTCATACGCTCTACAAGTTCTTACTTGAAGGGACTACTAATGCAGAGTGCCGCACAATATAAAGGTTAGTTTATATGTTTTATAGGGATTGCTTTGTGTTTTTGTACATGTGCTTACCTGAATGTATTTGCCATAGTATCTCTTTTTTACATGTGCTCAATCTAATTTGTATACTCTCTGCTATCATTGACATAACGTTACTCAAATTTTCTAAACTTTTTGTGTCCATTATATAAGTTTCTAAACATGCAAGCACTTTTTCTGGCATACAATATCAAGTAAGAATATACACACATTTTATAATTGGGTCACCTTTTGATGTCAAGTGTTTTGAATGGCTTGATGTCAAGTGTACCTAAACCAAATACTCAACATCCAACATGTGATTTCATTAAGTTTTTTTTAAACAATCAACATTTCTAAATGCATGTAGATACAGTATACATACAATAATAAGATGGACAGGGCAACATAAATTTTGTGGATGTTATTTATGAAATGAATTGGAAGTAAAAAAGGCATTGTGTTATGAAAGAAATAGTTGTCCTCCAGGTGATATGGTCCTCGTTTGACTCTGATTGAGTATAAATGATCTAAATCAGGCCTCGAAATTGTGTTGCTAAGGTAGTGGTTTGCTACCTGTTTTTCCAAAAACACTACTTGTCAATTCCTTCAACTAGCTAACTTCACTAGTACCTCAACTAACAACTCTCCAAGTGAAAATATACAGATTTTCGATTGATTTGCCGATCAGCTGAATCACAACTTTTACAATTGCACGAAAGCAGACCAATCATAGTCGACTTTATTCTTTAACCGTCAATGAAATGTTTAGTAAATTGCCTTAAAACATAGTATAGTATCATCTGGTAAGTATACATTTATTTACAATGTAATATGTTATTATTACGCTGCTAAGTCATAAGAATAAAGATAACTCTCATCAAAATTATCACTACCTGGTTCTCTGAAATAGCTAACTGGAAAATTGACTAAGTAGTGAAACAACTACCTGATAAAAAAAGTTAAGCGCGAGGCCTGTAAATCCAGAAACAGATGTCCTAGGTTACTGTACAGGTACAAAAACGTTGAAATGATGATTATATCCGAGTCATTGTTCGTCAAAAACTAGACAATGGTTTTCTAGGAATTCTAAGTTTCAACCAAAATCGAACCCTGGGTTAATATTGAAAAAAATCTGCCAAATTGATTGACATATTTGACCCTAAACAGGATGCTATCTCTAAAAGAAGTTAACTTCATCCAAGTAAATTTGACACATTATCAATTAAACCTTTTCTACTGGGACACTCATTCACATATCTCTCTCATTGTTCATTTTTAAGATGTAGTTTTCCAATTATTGTTCTGCCTTATATTTCTGAAATTTAAGTTAAATGTATGACTTTTTCATTTCTTTATAATTGAGAGTGTTGATTGTATGTCTTTCAACTTTATTCCTTGCAGATTCCTCTCTTTTCAAAATTATTTTTATGCATAAATTCATGTTTCGATAGATTCTGTTGACCCAGACTAATTTCCCATTAACAATTTACTATAGGAAATGACATTGGGTCAAGTTTTTTTAAGTTCAATATCTGAAACTATGGAATAAGCAAAGAATAGAACGAGCTTCTCTGAATATAATATAGAAATACAAAGCCAAATCGTAAGTTCAAACTTTTGAAAGAAATGGCATGAAATAAGCATGACTACAAATAAATCCCAAAAAAATCCAGGAATGTTGTAAGGTCAAAAACCTTTTGTAACATAAAAAACACATTTTAATGTTTGAATCTCAATTTGAAAAGAAGGAATTAATGAGAAATTTTTAGGTTTTTGAAAAAACTGGAAATGAACACAATAATTTAATGTGACTTAAATATTTGACTGGTCATGCCTTCAGATTGGCTGCGTTTCTTTTCAATACTTTATTTCAACCACAATTATTTGTATGCTAGTCTAGGCATATCACATTTCCTCTATTGGTCAACAAGTATGTCCAGTAATACAATGGGATCATGGGTTCAAGATATGTCCAGACACCCACATGTTTTATCACTGTATTAACAGGGTATGATGGTAACACACTAACCCATTTCCTCTTAGAAAAATAAGTATGGTCAATAAATACCATTCAGTGATATCATGATTTCAGGAAATTTCAATTTCATTGTATTGCCTTGTTGAATGTGTTCACAGTATATAACCGTTATCAGGCCCGTAGCCAGGGGGGGGGGGGTTGGGGGGCTTGGGCGAACCCCCGCCCCTGGCCAAAATTTCTTACAAAATCATGCAGTTCTTCACCATTCTATCTATTTTGTGAGTGATTTTTGCCTAAATTTGCCAAAGTGAAACTCCCCTAGAATATTTTGGAAAAGTGAACCCCCCTTGGAAAATGTGGCTACGGGCCTGGTTATACACCAACTTTTTTATCTGACCAGCTTCAGAAGTGTTCCCAGTTACATGTCACCCCACTGAATTCTCAGTTTATTAGTTCCAAACTACATGCACCTAATTATTTCTCAGATTGATTTGAAAATGAACATAATTACAAGGTCTAGATCGATAATCTTAAATAAGTTCTCCTTTTGAATTGTTGAGATAAGGTAGTAGAACACCCACATTAGGTTTTATAAAGATAATTGTTTCTTGTCACAGAATCACGGAGACTTACCATAACATGCCTTTTCTTTAGACTGTTATACTGTACTTTGTCTAAGAAAAATTACTGTGACACAAACTGGTGCGTTGTGCTTGATCACTGTGCTTTTATTGTTAAACATTAAGAAAAAAACAATTGATTGATTGTAAGGAGAAGTCAAAGTAGTATTCAGTGGATAATCAAACATTTCATTCTAATTCTGCCTCATACAAGAAGATGGTTCAAAATGTCATAGATTAGGTTTAGAAAAAGCCAACATTTTGACAAAAATAGTTAAACAAAAAACATTCTGTTCTTTTCATAAATTAACAATATTCGCCTGATATTTTCCATAAGTCAGTGATATAATAAATATCACATAAAGAATAGTATAATGCTCCTTTCACGGATACAGAAAGTATGTATGCACACGAAGGTTACATTTTTAACAACTGAGTTAGGGGTTGAAAGTTCTCATACTTTCTGTGATGTTTCAAAAGGCAATATCGGTCAGGCCACCTTTTTATGTGAATAAACACACTAGAATTCCAAAGAAAATATTGAACTAGGCAAGTGGGTTCTTTGTTCAGGTACGTCAACATGACATTGTACCGAAACCTAAAAAGTCTTAAGAAATCGTTATTTCAATATTTATCTTCATAGTTTATATTTCGGTTTCATGACAAATGTTAAGAGGTTTAAAACATGCATGTCTTCTGATTTGGACAATCATTGTAAAATTAACAATCGATGGCGTTGATTATATGTCAAAGTTGTCAATCATATTTGATTCAATATCACTCGAAAATGTCAGCAGATATATACTTTTTACTTACAATGTGTATTTCAGCATTTTTGAAAGTGTTTTCTATATTCTTGTTTAGGTTTTAATTTACGATTTTTAGCAATTTTTGCCTCAATTCTTGTGGTTTTCATCTTGAACATGATCATTGTGATTTATCCCCCACGAGTCTCTCGACTTATTTTTGATTTACAAAAGATAAACAAAATTATTTGAATAAACTTAACATTACTAAAAACAATATTTGTGATTGATTATAAGATTTTGAAGTATTTCAAGACACCTAAATAAATATTACTATGATAGTGATATGCTATCACAAAATTGAACATCAAGTTTAATTTTTAATTTAGAAATGTACAAAAACTGAAACTTGAGTCCAATGGATTCATACTTTGCACACAGCTGTTTTGTGAAAGAGGTTGAACTTATATATTATAAATCAAAATAAAGTTCATAACCATAACTCTTAATTTTATATTAAACCAATCAGAAAACAGTATTTATTTGTATGTAGGTAGTACTGATGGTGTTTTGTGTACCTTCTGTGGAAGGAATTGACTTTTCAGGATGTTGTCAAAATAATCATGAAAATATGCCATATTCATTGCAAAACAATTTGAATATGATCCATTGTATAGAGCGTACTACAAATCATTCTTATTTCACACGATTTCTCCCGAAAACTTGATCAATGTATCTCATTTTTTGGTATTTTTAAATTATTTAGAGCATTGCCTTCGTGGATTTTTTTTGAGTATTTAAACCATATGTTTTATTTTAAACCAAGACCTCCATGATTGATATATGATATTTACAATTAATATACAGATTACCTCCCCTTAACCTTTTAAGTGTGCTTTATCTAGTTTTTATACATATTTATATTTCAGATATTCAGTTTACTGTTTAACAATAAATAGCATCAGCGTGAACACATGTTAATATACAGTCCTATGCACAGATGAAATGAATTATTTAAATTGACTGTGTTTTTCTTACTTTTTGTGTTCCAAAAGTCAATGTTTTACTCGATTCCAGCAAGAAATGCTCGAATATGCTAATTTTCCAAGCTTGCGCGTGTGGATGTCTGTTTTAAAAATCTCAGATTGGTAGGGGCATCACCAACTTCATTCAATGCTGGGGAAATACACATAGTAGCATTACACGCAATATGATCATAATTTCGCTGTGAATTTTTCCACTTAAAAAATATACTAAGCAACATACTTAGTAACGTAAGTGTAATTTGTTCTCTAAACACACAGTGATCGTTACTTCATGTTGTTAAAAAACTATTTTTCTGTTTTTGGTTATTGGATCACAGTTGGAACTCAGCATGTTTTGAGACTATATGTCATGCTTTGAGACTATATGTCGCGTCTCACTGATTGCTATTTGCAATATGCTCAACAAGCTTTAGAAATGAAAATATATAGTTCAAGTATTTACATGTTAACCTTTTCTGTGTGAATGTAAGAAACATACTTGATATTTCTAGCTTCTCTTTTCTACACTCTCAGCAGAAACCTGATTTGAAATCCGTCTGCTCGTGTTTATTCCTCCATATCTCTCTAAAATTTGATAAAAAAGTCTGATTTTTTTGCATTTTTATACA